AAGACTGACTAGACCGTCGGAGGGGATACGCCGGAAAACACTCCGGCGCCCTTCTAACTTGTTCTTCTTTGTTCCAGGAACCCCTTTCAGCCTTACCGGATCCGTCTCCAGCTCCCCTAGGGTCTCCCGTTGCCGTTTCAGGCTACCACCGGACCTCGCAGGCTGTTCCAGGCAGCGTGGTTGGTCATTCAACGGNGAAAACTTGGCAATGCAGCATATAACCAGTGTACAAGTCCTCAACCAAGGATCCACACCTAAAACCCACCTACACAAGTTGGAACCATGNCCAGGGGAGAGATCTGTTCTCGTTTTTTATATTGTGCAGGATCTTGCACGCACAAGAACCACGTGAGTAATGACTATGGCCAGCCAAAAGAATGATACACAAGTTGGAATGTCAATCAAGTCGAGCTTGAGATTGCTAGTCAAGCCGAGCTTGAGTATGCTCAAGCTCTGTTTGGTTGTGACCAGTTGAATTTGAATTTTCCCGAACATGAGTTCAAAGAAAATTGCAAAATTAAACCCTTAGAATTCTTAATCAATCGTAAAATAATCATTTTCTTGGCAAAAGTAGTTCACAATTTGTATAATTAATCATAAAATAGAAATACATAATTTTACTTTTTACAAATTCTATTAAGAAAAGAGGGGGAGTGAAGTATATATGATACTAAACTATTTGAGAGAAAGTTTCATTTTTCAAATAGGGGTTGCTTGAAAATAATATTATAGTTAGTACCAGACATAAGGATATCTAAGTTGAGCTATGAGCCGAGAAACACATTGCTCAGATTTCGATAAGTTAGTGCAACTTCAAAAAAATTTGAACGAGGCAAAACAATCTAAAAACTCAAGTTTAAGCTCCAGCTATTTGAATCGTTTATCCATAAACATGGGAAGCATGGTCGGAAAACCTTTATACTTTATTTGGTACGATGAAAAAATGAAAGGATGAAAAGTTTGAGGAACAGATATAATATTATATTTGGTAAACAAGGAAAATAAGAAGAATGAAAAAAAATATTTAACTCACTAAAATCAATCCCTTCAAAATTGGGAGAATTTGAAATATGCCCTNGTTTCATTTTTCAAATAGGGGTTGCTTGAAAATAATATTATAGTTAGTACCAGACATAAGGATATCTAAGTTGAGCTATGAGCCGAGAAACACATTGCTCAGATTTCGATAAGTTAGTGCAACTTCAAAAAAATTTGAACGAGGCAAAACAATCTAAAAACTCAAGTTTAAGCTCGAGCTATTTGAATCGTTTATCCATAAACATGGGAAGCATGGTCGGAAAACCTTTATACTTTATTTGGTACGATGAAAAAATGAAAGGATGAAAAGTTTGAGGAACAGATATAATATTATATTTGGTAAACAAGGAAAATAAGAAGAATGAAAAAAAATATTTAACTCACTAAAATCAATCCCTTCAAAACTGAGAGAATTTGAAATATGCCTTTGAGTTCAGCACCATATATGTCATTCTTGTTGATCCCACGGAAGATCTGAGGAAACTGAACATAACCGAGTTTCGGGTCCATTTTAGGATCCGAAAGATAGCACAGTGCACAAAGGGGAGTTTTTGGATCATTTGAGTACATGTCACAGTCTAGGCCTTGGTCATGGTGGCCGAGACTCGGATCTTCAAAAATTACAAAGACAACAAAAAAATATTATGTGTTAGATACATGACCGATAATATGATATTTGTATTGTACCTAAAGGATTAAAATTTTGGTTCGGTGTATTGTTTTGGTCACCTTGAAAACGGAAATGTTTCGATTCGTTTTGAAAATAGTATAAAAAATTAAAAAATTTAAGAATTATTTTTCTAAAATATCGGTCGAAATATATTAAAATATCTTAAAATATTTCGAAACAATTGTGTAAATGTATTAAAACATTATGAAACACCTCGAAGTATTAGAATTTTGATTCTATTACTGATTCGTTTTAATCTTCATAGAAAAAAAAATATTTTAAATATTTCGACTGTTTTAAAATAAAATTATAATATTTAATTGTACCCCACATGTTAGAATCCTTACCAGCACGATTAAGGCACCAACTTTAAAATTGTGGGGATGTGGAGGTACATTTCTCTATGCACACATAAACGAGGTTTGGCACTGCGTGACCTGTGACGTCTTTGTCTCTGGCACTCTCTAGCAGAACCTGCGCATTCAAGGGACCATCCATCAATAATTATTGCTTTACATGGCTCTACCATGAAGTATCAAGTTTCAACTAGCTAGAGGCTAATATCCTAACGTACATATTGAAAAATTGTCACATGGTGTATATACCTAATAAAAAATTGTCATGTTAGAGACAAATTGACCTCTTTTTAAAAAAAAAATATGACAAAGTAATGAATGATTACTCTTTTTTTGAGAATGTATAACTTTTAATTGACTATTTACACCACCCGACACCGCACAAAAAAATTTACGTGAGGAAAGGGATTACTATTTATAGGTAATAAACATTGGGTGTAACGATTATATTGCATTAGTATTGTTATGCGATATAATCATCTAATGATAACTCAATGATTAGGCAAAATAGAGCTCGCTCTGTCAAATAATCAATCTTCCATGTAATTATATTAACCGCCACATATCAAAAAAAATGGGTTCACTTACTAATTTTTTTGTTTATCATTGAACGATTACACCGTCTGATAATACTAACGTGTTACTAGAACAGTTACGCCCAATATTTAGTCATTGAGAGGGGAAGAAGCAACCTTGATCAGTGTAGATTGATCTTGAAGTGTAAATCCATCCGTCCATTTCATGATGGAAGATCAGCTGCAAATCAAGTCAATGTATCTTGGTTCGGCTTATATAAGTTTTTGTGTATAATCAATTCTAATTTTTGCTCATCAAAAGATGAAAAACCTTAAATGAAACTCCAAATAACTTCACATCATTTACGTTTTTCTTCCTCCTTTTCTTTAATAGATTCTTGAGAAATTTAAATTTTAGGGTTCAATTAGTTATTTAGGTGTATGATTCATTTTTAGGACCTTTTGTTGAGAAATTATATTTAAGTTTGAGTTTGGTTCAAATGGTCGTGAGCTTCTCTCGAACTAAATTTAAGTAAGAAAAAAAATGTTATTTATACATAATTTAAGAACTTAATTTGTGATCTCAATTAAAAGTTGGTGTTATATAATATTAAATCTCGTAACTAATCTAATAATGAAAATAAATTAAGTTCTTAATTAATAGCATTGTTTGTAAGTAAGAACTTAAACTCGACACTTAAATTTAACTCAACACAACGTCGACCTTGACCGGTCACAACTAAATTAAGGTGAAGCATAATATCAAAGTTGATTAATCCTTTAAACCGGATGGACCCAATAACTATTTAGACAAAAAAATTCCATAGTTGTTATGGAAATTAAGATTTTGTTTGATTTGCGTCTCAAAAAATAGTATTCGAAAATTATTTTTGAAAAAAGTTTTAGGTTGTGTTTGGAAACCGATAGATTTTGACTTTTTGGAAAAAAATAAAAATAAAAATAAAAATACTTTTAGTGAATGTTTTCGTTATTTTTTTGGCTTTGTTGCTCCGTTTTAAAACATTTAAAATGATATTTTTAAAAACAGCCAAAAACCAAAGCAAGTGTGTGCCTGTGGGGGACTTCAATGAGATCCCAACTTTGATCCCTTTTTGACAACAAAAAATTGATTTTTATTACTTTGAGTATAAAAACTCCTTCCCTTTCTCGTCTTTGTGCCCCTCCTCTCTCTCGCCTCTCTCTGTTGTTGTTGGTGCATCCTTCAGCAAGAGGAATCCATAGCAACAAAAGAATATAGATCAACTTCGGTCCTCCATATATTTGTATAGCCACAAAGAACATCAATCTCCATATTCATAGAAATATTGTTTTTAAAAACACATAAAACAGTCTTATTCTTAACCTATCAAGTTTCTGCTCTCAGTTTTCAAAAAACAAAAACAAACATACAAAATAGTTAGTTTTTCTCCTATAAACTGTTTTCGAAAATAGAAAAATAATTTTTGAGATGCAAATCAAACAACACCTAAAATTTTGTCCTTCAATTTTTTTAATAATTTTAGGGCCCATTAATGAATGATAGATTTTATATGTATTAATAATGATAAATAATATATTATTAATTAAAATTAAGTGAAAGTATAATATAAGAGTAACCAGGTCAGTAAAAAAAAAAAGTTGGGTACCTTAATTTTCTCGTACTCCGAAAACCACTCAGGGTCAGAGCTGAAATATGCCTCCGGACACCTCTCTATTATCTTGTTCTTCTTGCATAAGAGCAAGCACATGATCGGCTAGGAACATGGAGAGAGAGAGAGAGAAAAAAAAAATTCTGGTGGAGTTGGCTAGATTGAGGAAATTGCGGTATAGTAGGGCAAAGATGGTGCTCATGTGGGCGAGGGCGAAGAGACGGTTCAGCCGTGTGCGGCAGAAGGCCACCATCGTGTGAAAAGGAGGAGGATTTTACATGGTAATGCTGTTCTTGGTGATCATCCCCTTAAGACCTCCCATTCCTCTTCTGCTATACCTATAGAGGCAAGGCCTTCGTTATTTATACTCAAGGCATTAAGATGTAAAGTGCACTGTCTTTTTTTGTTTGGGAATAGAAGATTTTAGCGCAAGAATTAGTTCAAGCGGTAATAAGAATCTTTACGGTCAAATCTTAAGAGATTTATCCTTCATCACTAACTTAATTTTAGTATAGATGACTTATCTGTGATCGAATTAAAGAAAAAATTAATCAAGGTGAATGTAAATTAACCTGAACACCGTAGAATTGAAAAGTTGGAAGGAACTAAAAACCAGTACAAGGTCAAAGTAAACGCAACACAAAGATGCTAATGTAAGTTACATACATGCTCATTCAAAGCTTAATCCTAGAGAGATTACATGATACCCTATTTAAGTAACCTGAACAAGCAAAAAGGAGAGAGGATAAGAGAAACCATGGTGAAAACCAGGCACCAACGAAAGTACCACTGCTCGATTAAATCAGTTTAGTACACAATGCTACATAAAGCTTGCAAGCTTCCATTCACTGGGACATTGTCCAAAAACAACTACACATATTTACAAGCATTGGAAATGAAAACAACTCATCAACAGTCAACAGAAACACCCCTGATATGCACAGATCCTAATCCTACCCGTTAAGACGAATTTCCCCTAATACAGTTCAGTGTTTTCATTCTTCATACCCGGCTAATGTTTGAAAGTGCTCTAAAAATGAGCAACGGATAGCCCGTGTCTCCTCACTCATCTGTAGCATTCTGGCCAATGGCCCAATCCGAAACCCAATCCATCAACCCCACCCCAAAATAAAAAAAAAAAAAACGAAAAAGTTACATTGCTAGTTTTGAACAGCATCCAAGCTAGTTGTAGTTCCCTCACTGTCTACGATAAATAGAGGAAGCTTGCTTTCTGCACTCATTTTCTTCACATCTTGGCTTGAACAAATGAGGATCCTTCTCACCATGTTACAGAATTCCCTGCAAGAGAATAATACAAACATCAACTAGATGGAAAATCAAGATATTAAAAATGAAAAGTTAATTTCCCATTCATAGTTCTAAATAACCAAATCTGTAAGAATACTTACGGCCACGGATCATCACCCATGAGCATCATATCACCTTCGTCATCTGTAAAGACTATTTCCCATTTACTCCGAGGACAAAGTTCTCCCTTGATTCCAAACATATTTTCTAGTTCACTAATAAGGTCGTCGTACCCTTTCAACGCAGTTAAGTCCACAGCACGGCCCACTGCAACCCCTTGCATTTGAACCTTCTCAGACAATGCAAAAATGTTGGCTTAACAACTTGTAAGGGCAAAGAAAGCTCAAATACTGGTTATTAAAAAATAAAGGAAATTTAATTTCTAATGTCCAGTTATTATTCACCTTGGTACGACTTCTAGTAGAGCAACTCTGTTTGCTTTGAACCTCCTTTGGTGATACCTGCAACTGTTCTAGCTTCTGCTCTTTGGAATCCTTTGAAAGCTCAGAATTTTGGTCTGAAACAACAGCTGACACAGCACTCAGTAGATTTCCTTCAGCAGCGACATTGGATACACTGACCAGTTTTAAAGGAGCCTTCTCAGCAAGAAGGGCACCTATGGCAGGACTTTTCAAGTCGATTCCAAACAATCGGAAGCTTGCAACAGTGCCGGATCTTCCGTCAACTAGGTCAGGCATTAGTTCATTGCTCTGCTTCATTGAGTGCAGAGTCGAATGGTGTGAGGGAACAGACCAAGCGGAAGCACTTCTACTCTCTTCAGTTTCATCAATATTCATCTTTCGAGAAGCAGTTACATGGGAAGAGGATGTCCAGCCTCCCTCCACATGCATCCTCAAAATACCGTTGTGGCTGCAGGTCATGGGAGTTGGAATATGATTCTCGGTCCTCTGTCTGTCGGCAGTACCACTTAATTTAGTTGAATCATGGGAGGGATGCCAGACAGCTGAAGACATTGAATCATGTGAGGAATGCCAGACAGCTGAAGACGCAGTATCTATAACACAGATGGCAGAAGAAGACAAAATCAAAAAAAAAAAAAAAATTATGATACATCTAGACAATGTACAGAACATTGAAAGAATGAAAGGATGATCAGCTCACCAAGAACTGGGATTTCAATTGGTGGTCGGGGTCTTTTATTCTTCACTGGCACTGGTTGAACCAGGCTTGTAGGACCAGAAGCTGCAAAAGATTCTATCTCCCATGGAGAAACCCTATCGGGTCTTGCAATGGATGCGGGCTCATCCCATTGAACCTGGGCAAAATAAGGAGTGTTACTTTTCGTCTCTGCCACAATTGCAAATAAATAGAAGACAAAAGTTCAAGGACATTAACCTTTAATGATCGCCATGTAGAATCTTTCCACTGGGAAGAAATATCCCCAACCCCGACTATAGTCCCTGTAAACCTGATCAATCAAAAGAACTTTTATAGCAACTTTACACACAACTTTCTAAAACCATCCTATGGATATTACACTACCTTCTTTCTGGAGAATCTTCCCCTTCAAATCGCATATTAAATCTCATGCCAACTGCAAATCCATGGTCAACAGCTTCTAGATATTTATTTAACCCTATAATAAACTGACTCGTCCTGAATTTTTGAAAATGAAACCATAACAAAAATTACTAATTCACTAAGATTTCTGCAACACAAAGATCATTTCAAATTCATCAGACGGACTAATATATAGTACCTCGGCTTGTAGAAAACAACAAAACGGGTTTGAGTAGTTACAGCATGAGATGCAGTTGCAAGCACTCCTAGGTGCATGCTCTGACTTGAAATCACTGACGATGGCATGGAGCTTTGTTGACGAGTAAGGTGTCTAACCCCAACACGTAATTCCCCATTCTCCCCCCTAGATATCAAATTATTTTTAGAAAGATGTAATAAACAATTACACAGAAAAATAAGATTATCAAAAATAATTGTCGACACAAAAAGTCTATGGGAGTCAGAAACTTCAAAATAGGATTAGAAGAGGCAAATAGACATGAAAATTACCTAAGAAATACAAAAGTATCCCCGGCAACTAATCTCTTAGAAGTAACAAACGTACTCCATCCTGTTGTAAGCAAATGCCTCCGTGGTTGGCCTGAAATTTTTAGTCAAAGGGAAATTTTCAGACTTGAAAAAAAAAGAGTATTCACCTTTGAATCCCTCAAAATGTCTATTTATTGTCGATTGCTCATTTCTGTTAGTCGATTCGTGTTTGAACAACAAATGCCGCTTTTCATAATTTATAATTGTAGCACAAGGACAGTAAAGGAATAGGAAAAATCACCTCTAAAGATATGCTTAAAGTGCCATTCAATGCCATGAAGATCCTTGGCAACTAATTCCTGGGCTGGTGTGGGCTGGGTCATGTCCTGAAAAACAAAAAGAAGTCCAAAGAAGAGTCGATCAATAACTTGAAATGGTAGTATAGGAAGTACAGGAAAAATAGAATAACAAGTTTGTTACCAGCAAAGGGAGGCATTCATTAGCATGTTTTCGAAGAACAGAAAAGCCACCATGAGTGCTTGTATCAGAGGCAGTCAAAACCTTACAGAATGAGTGGACAGTCGGTCTTGGAGGCTCAAGAGGGCATGAATCAAGACTTCGTGGCTCAGTTGACTACAAATATTTCACATAATTATAAACTTAAGAATTACTTAAACATCACAACAGAAATTTTGCCTGTTGCTCGTGAGCNTCTCTCTCTCTGTCTCTCCGTGTCTCTCGAATCCAGGAAATGAGAAACGCCGTTACAGAATCCCGAAAGCAGCTTAATATACGCCTTGATTTGTTCCTTTTAAGTCTGCACACTCTCTCTCTGGGCTTGTCTCCTTGCACTGAACTGAGTTGTGCAGTCCGTGACGTGAGAGGCTAACCTTTACTAACCAGGGTTACTTGTTAACCTGAGATAGACGGTTCCGGCGACGACACTTTTGACGGAAAGGTGAAGTGATACACAGTCAGCCGTCTATTAACGGCAGGACCGTTTGGGATACGAATCGCATTGTTTTAATTACATAATTTTGTGAATCACGTCAAGCGAGTAAAGAGAGACTTTGTTGAATAAGCTATTATTTATATAAGAGTAATGTTAGATAAACTTAAAATTTTTTAAGTGTATTCAAAATTTTCTTGTTTCTAGTTAGTATAAAAAGGAAAATGATAAAAAAAAACTTTCCTACATACCTAGATTTTGTCACAAATAATTAACTTTTCTTTCTTATAAAAAACACAAGAAAAAAAACAAACCTAAAATATTTAATTAATTATTGATTTTCAAAATACTTGGGTTGCAACTATCCTTGTCCTATAATTGATTAGAGTTACTTTTTTTTAGTTTTAATTATAATATATATTTTGTATTTTTCTTGTATGGCCAAGTTTGATACAGTAAGTGTAATTTAGATAATTAAAATGATTTTATTGTAACTTTCTTCTTTTTTAAACAAAAGAATTCTTACAAAATTTTCATTTTGACTAAATAATTAAATAAAACTATATATATGTTTTCTTTTTTTTTTTTAATTAGTTTTCTTGTTAATCAAACGAAATGCACATGGTCCTAAACAGTTCTTAGTTGTTGTTGTTAGAGATGACAGTAAACTGGAGCGGGAGTGGGGAGTAGTCTCTATTTCCATACATGCTTAAAAAAAATTTGTTCATCCCTAATCTACCCCCATTAAAGGAGTTAGTTTTAATCTTCATCCTCATCCAGCGAGTAAATCCTAATATCCCTGCCATCATTACGCGCCTTCACCCCAGCCGTTACACTCCAATGACCACCAATAGACAATTAGGCAAAAAAAAAACCACACAAATTTAAATTCTATTGATTTTTTCACTCACAAGCTTTGAAACAGTCGAGCAAATTTTTCAAAAAAACAAACCCTATCCACATCTGAAAAGGAAGCTCCCAAATCCAAAATAACTCAACAAACTAAGTCTCAAAGCATCAAGAAAATGCATCAGTAACAGTTTGATTGAACCCCTTCAATATATGTTATCTAATGTATGTTTATAATTAGAATTAATCATTAATGCACTAATAGTAATGCAAAATTATACGAACAAAATTCAGAAAAAAAAAAAAAAGAATAATAAGGGTTAATTGTACCGGAGGTCCCCAAAGTATGAAATTTGTCTCATTTTGGTTCTCAATGTTTCAATTGTATCATTTTGGTTCCTAAAGTATTGAATATGTTTCTATATAATCCCTTAAGTAGACTGTGTCTAGATTGCTAATAATTTTTTATCATAAATTTGTAACATGATACTTAAATATGGACAAAAAAATAATATGGATAACTCTTGACCAAAATTTTACTTAAATTTGGTTAAATACCTATTTAAATTACACAATTTTGATCATTAGTTATCCAAAATTTAGTCAAAATCTACCCATATTACAAATTTTTTTGTCAAGAACTACCCAAATTTTGTTTAAAATATCAAATTTATTTTTTTTTGTCTATATTTAGCTATTACATGACAAGTTTATGATAAAAAATCGTTAACAATCTGGACATTATCTGCTTGAAGAACCATATAAAAACATATTCAATATTTTAGGGACTAAAATGATACAATTGATACATTGGAGACCAAAATGAGACAAACATCATACTTTGGAGACCTCTAATGCAATTAACCCTAATAATAATTCAAATGTTGTATAATCACAGTTCCCTTAAAACATATTTGTTTATTCTCAATACTTAAGGTTGATAAACAATTGTTTCTCAAGATATAACGTAATTCATTTTTGAAGTTACAACACTTCAATCTTCAAGACTCTAATGAACATAATTATGTGTTTGTACTTGAATTAAATAAGAAAGACTAATGCAGCAAATATGCAAAGAAATAAAAAGAAACTCTAAATATTAGAATCCAGAATTGGTATTGATTGAAAAGGGCAATGGATAATCTATTTATAAACCTTTCATGCCTATTCGGATCGCATGAAGAGGCACATGACGCCCCTGTTTGTTGAACTTATTCGAATCGAAGAGACATACCTTTAATTTTGAACATCAACAAAATGAAGAAGACACATCTAGAGAACATACATAAGCACTGGAATGAATCAGACCCAATTTTGGCATCAAATTCAAAGAAACAAATAAGAAATTTAAAAAATCAGTTGAATTTAAATTTTGGCTGGGAATTTAATTATGATCCGCGTTTGGATTTGATTGGGTTGACCCATAACCTACACTGCTTCAAATAAATTTTATCCAAAAAAATTAAATCACCCAAGCCTGCTGGGTCATGGCGAGGCAGACACGTATATGATAACAAAAGTAGTGTAAGCGTTCATTCCTCTCACAAAAAGTGTGGTACCCCTTAGGACCCAACCCCATGAAACCAACTACGAATATATTAATTCACTACAGTATTGATCTTCTTTCAATATGATACAAGTCTTATTTTACTATATCAATCTTAGGTTATTTCATCAATTCGAAATGATCATTTTGAGACATAATTTTTCATTCAATATTAAATGATCTTAAACAAATAAGTATACGATATTCATATCTTTGTGGAAGAGAACGCGTTTAAACTCGGTTCACCAATTTGGAGGTGTAGGTACTGCTTTTATTTAAACCTTAAGTTACTCAAATAAACTTATTTAAAATTATTTTTTTCAACAATATAGTAGATTTTTCATAAATAAATCACAATAATCCATAAAAGTAATGACCAAGATTAGACAAATAAAAAAAATCATACAAATGCAAACTCCTCACTCTAAATCATACAATTGCCCAACAATGGAAATGTCTCTTTTTATGAACACATTCGGTTTTGAAAAACCTAATACTTTATAAGAAAAGCCCAAAAATTTGATTAAACTTAAAAAAAGATAATTGCTTACAACATAGTTCTTGAGAGATCTATTTGTTTAGTCTAGACTTGATCGCTACATGAGCGTCACCACGAAGATGATGCCACATAGGACAGTTATGTGTCCTGATTGGTTACAAATTTATAGAAATCACAACAATTTTCACTAATCGGTTGGCACTCTGTACAAGAGAGAGTGTGATAGATGTCGAGATAAGTTTCAACTCATTCGTATTAAAAGAGACGGGATAAGTTTCAGTTTATTCTCACTTTTATCACTGGAGTTTATACCAATACTTTTATATATATTTATTATCCAATATATATGATTTATCTTTGATTACTTATTTTTTTTTAGTCCATGACATCTGCAATTCTTGTTGCCGTTGGAGGCAGGGTATAACCGATGGCTCTATTAATGGTCGTTACCGTCAGTTTCCGTCTCATTTGTTGTCTGCTTCGCAGCAGGCAACACGATTGGCTCGAGTAAACCCGGCAAACAATCTTTATTCATTTTTCGTGGTTGTGCAATTAACCTGCAGGTTCACTTTTAATTACGGAGACTGCCACTAAAACCTGGGGACCACACAACACGTGGGAAGCGTTTGGGTCTGATCGTTCAACTTTTTCCTCTACTGTTCGATCAGCGAGAGTGCTCAGGTGGTCCTAAATCCTAAACGGTACATGTCACAATTAGACGCCACGTTTCTTGGGACCCACAACATGTTTGGTTAGTC